GTTTTGATTTTAAGGTATTTCAGAGTTAGCTTGGAAGAATAAATTTCATGTTGGAAGCTTAAGTTAAAATAATTGATCAGATATTGACTTATGTGTAAATGACCTTGGATTCAAATTCCGATAATTTTAATAGCTCTGTATGATGATTTTGGACTTAGAAGCGTGTCCGAAATTGGAGGTCCGTAGTAGAATCAGGCTTGAAATGGCAAAAGTCAAATTCATCAGAAGTTTGACCGGGGAGTTGACTTTTTGATATCGGGGTCGGAATCCAATTTTAAAAATTTTCATAGCTCCGTTATGTCATTTATGACTTGTGTGCAAAATTTGAGGTCAATCAGAATTGATTTGATAGATTTCGGTATCGAATGTAAAAGTTGGAAATTCTTAAGTTCCTTAAACTTGAATTGGGTATGATTCATAGTTTTAGCGTTGTTTGATATGATTTGAGATTTCGACTAAGTCCGTATGATGTTATAGGACTTGTTGGTATAATTTGACAGGTCCCGGGGGACTTGGGTGTATTTCTTTTTGGATCATTGGTTAAGAGACTAGTAAGGTTAAGAAACTTGGGAGTTTGACCATGGTCAATATAGGGTCAAGACGACCTCTTTTCAGTATTTTGAGTACGCGAGCAGGTCCGTAACGTATTTTATGATTGAAATTCATATATGGTTTGTGTCCGGGAGGTTTGGGATGAGTTTCGGATGGTTAAACGAATCAAAATTTGGACTTAAACAGCTGCTAAAAATTTCTGATGCTGGAAAAATCGAAGCCATGAAAAATCAAGGTCATGAAAAAATCGAGGTCATGAAAAAAATCGAGATCATGGAAATCGAGGTCATAAAAACCGAGGACCGAAGGTCGAGGGCCTGGACAGAACTGTGAGTTATAAAGCAGGGGACTTTGTCCCATTTTCCATTTTTATCAAATTGGAGCTTTGGGAGAGGCGATTTTTGGGAGATTTTCAAAGAAAATATCGGGGTAAGTGTTCTTAACTCAATTATGGTTAGATTATCCGAATCCATCATTTGTTTTCACCATTTAATTAGTGTTTTGAGATTGAAATTTAGGAAAATTTTAAAAATCTCATAGAAACGAATTTTTGAGATTTCGGCGTCGATTCAGAGTCGGATTTGAGTGAAACTGATATGGTTGGACTCGTAATTGAATGGGTTATCGGATTTTATGAGTTTCGTCGGATTCCGATATGTGGGCCCCACGCGCAATATTTGGAGTGTAATTTCAGATTTTTATGAAAAATTAGCATTTTCTTATGAAATTAGTTCCAATAAATTTTATTGACTGAATCGAATTATTTATGGTTAGATTCGAGGCGTTTGGAGGCCAATTCCGGAGACAAAGGCGTACCGGAGTACAAAATTACACGGTTTGATGTAAGTAACACTTCTAAACTTGATTCTGAGGGTATGAATTCCCGAATTTGGTATGATATAAATTGTTTGGAGGTGACACTCACGATAGGTGACGAACATGTGGACGTGCACCATATAAATTGTGTCTTGAATAAATCTTGTGCAGTTGTAAGATTAATGAATCATGTTATTACCTGAACATTCTCTACATGTTTGATAAATTAAGTTGAGACTCCTATTAAAGATCATGTTTAGGCTATGTGCCAATATTTTAGGACCCATGTGGTCGTGTTGCTGTTGAATTAATTGTTCAAAAATATACATTTCATACTCAGTAATAATTGTCCATTATGAGGAAATTTATGGGATTGAGCTGCGTAATGCAGCAGGCCATAATGACTTTATACATCATTATTATATGGATCGGGGCTGTCCGCCTGCAGGAGGCCTTATTGGCTTTACTATTTTGTGGATCGGGGTTGTCCGCCTGCAGCAGGCTTTATAGGCTTTATTATTATGCGGATCGGGACTACCCACCTGCAGTAGGCCATAAAGGCTTTATATCACGCTTGGGCTGAATGAGCTATTCCGGAGTCTGTACACACCCTCAGTGAGCGTAGATAATTATGCATATTCGGGATGGATTTCCCAGGGCATGGACTTGCCTTACTTATTTATATTGTAATGAGTTTACCGGGGCATGGATCTTGTCCGTATCATTTATATTTGGGGATAAATTATTCCAGTGCTGGATTGGCCTTATACGGTACTGGGTGACTGACTGTCAGTCGATGTGTATTTATATACGGGTTGGAACAACCTGGGCTGGATTGGCCATAAATAGTACCGAGTGACCGAATAATTTGTGACCAGTATTTACATGAGGTCTTTCTACCGAGATGTCATATTTCTCATATCATGCAGTATTGATCTATTTCACTTGTACTGAGTTTAACTATTGAACTTGAAAGCATGCCTACATTTTTGTACCATTATTTATACTGGAATGTACCTGCGGAGCTCGTCACTACTTTCAGCCCAGAGGTTAATTTTGTTATTTATTGAGTTGGTTGTACTCATACTACACTCTGCACCTCGTGTGCAGATCCAGGTACTTCCGGATACGGCGGTTGCCAGATTTGAGGATTTATCTGTTGGCGACTATCAAGGTAGCTGCTTGGTGTCCGCAGACCTTGACTCTCTTTCCTTTCAGTTATTGTATTGTTCTATATTTTCAGACAGTGTTCTTATCCGTCAGACTTTGTATTATTTAGATGCTTATGTACTCAGTGACACCGGATTTTGGGAGTGTTTATATCTGTATTGTGAGACTTCTTCCACTGAATTTAAATATTATGTTTTCAAACTTAAAAGAAATTGTGGTTTATTGAGGTTGTCAGCTTGCCTAGTATTGAGATAGGCGCAATCACGACAGGTTAGGATTTTGGGTCGTGCATGATTCTTCAGATATTACCATGATATTGACCTTTCATTACTTGCCTCGCATCCTTTTGAATGTTTAAGTTTTCTTGATATTAACTACATAATTCAATTTTATCATTCAGATCTACTGATTAAGGATTATTATTTCCTGTATTTAGTAGGCGAATACTAGATTAGTCTCACCAGTTATTAGTGGTTCCAGGGAGATCATCTTAGCTTTCCGTGGATGTGTCTAACCAAAAAATGATATTCCTTTTGCTTTTGGTCCTTAACCATCCAAAGTTGTTAAGGTATTTTCAATTGAAACTTTCATTTTTGTATTTCTTCTTTCAAGATACTAAAGACTTCCCTTTTTTAAGTTTCTTCTTAAAAATATTGCGTTCAATGTTGTGGGATCCAGAAGGAAACACGAAGGGTAAAACTTCATGATAAAAGCAAGATTCGCCAAAAATACTAGATCCAAAGAGATGTCTAATTTTACTAATTGAGGAAATTTATCTGTTTATCTTCTCCATACTTATAAAATGTCATGGGATTTTAATTTATCTTTTTTGTTTATTATGTGTATATGTTTTCTCTACTGGAAGATTTGAAAAATATTACAACGACTCAATTTTTTCTTTGTCGAGTCTTCCTAATATTATCATTTGACAGCGACTTTTCTACATGATTGCATTTACTTGCATTTTGATCTTCACATTCAATATGTCTGAGAATTTGAGATTTGTGGAGATAGAGACGCTTCCTAAATGGTTCAAACAAGTCCCACCTTGAGAGACACTCTTGAAACAGTCATAGATAAAACACTAATTGAAAGAAATGATAAACATGGACATGAAAATGCAATTTTTGCTCTATGATGCTGACCTAAAGTATAGTTATATCTTATTCATGAGGACTTTCACAATGAAAAGGTTACATTACTTGATATGTGTTAAATACGGAATAGGTGATCCTTGCAGCCAATACAATATAACTTTTCTTGGTTGTATGTTGTCAAAATAGGATTTTAGCAGTCATGAGTCTCTTTGATTATGTTATTGGCTAATGTAGTATCTAGATATATGTACATGGTGACTGAACATATTGATTCTTTTGATAAATTGTTGACTTAATGATTAGATTCTTGAAGCTCAAATAAGAATTCACTACTTTATTGACTTACCAATTAGAATGTCTTCGACTTAGATCCGATGGACTTGGAAATTTTGCTCTATGTTGCAAGATCTGTCATAAAAACTTGAAGAGGTGCCTTCCACTTATGTAATTTTGTATCTTCTGTCTATTTATTTGGTTATTAATCTTTTTCAGCAGAATCCAATTTATTTGATATATTTTGGAACATATCAGTAGCACAAATGCGCCTCTAATTTGTATTTACACATTCTCAGAAGGATTTTTCTTTCAATACGTGCACCTAATCTTTTTGCGGGAATTGTAAGCCACTTTCTGATGAAGGCTTAAAGGATTTTGCTTCTCTGTGTTGAAAATTTTCAAGATTTTTATGTTAATGCGCTATTGATATGCAAGACTTTGTATGAATATACAGTGATCGGTACAAAATACTAAAGGAGATTGGCTTTTAAGGAAAGTATTTCGACTTGAACGATAACCGTTTCGAAGGACGAATTCCTCCCACGCTTGGCAATTTTTCAAACATTGTGGAAATGTTAAGTGCACTTTGAGTTGTCATTGTCAGTATGTGGGTTTCTTTTTTTTTTTTATCCAGAGCTAAATATGATTTGTCATCGTTCACTTTAATTCAGATTGATTTCCTAAGTTNTTTTTTTTTTTTTTTTTTTTTTATCCAGAGCTAAATATGATTTGTCATCGTTCACTTTAATTCAGATTGATTTCCTAAGTTCAAGTATATGTGATGTAGCTTGAATGATTATTTCTATGATTGATAAATAATTTGCTTCGTTCTGCGTCTTCCCTAAGCATCAGACTTCTTCGGTTTTTGCAAATCAATGTTTGAGACGTTTGATTTACATGGCATGTATTGGACTTTTTAAGTTTTTGTGTTTTCACGTTTGAGAGTTTGAGTTTACATCACCTTGTAAACAAAGAATATTTGTAACATTTGAAGTCATTTTACAGTCCAAGTTCTAAGAATCATGCTTAATTGTTATCTCTTGGTTACAGTTTTATGTTGCTTGAAATTAAGCAATGACCAATCATATTAGAATATGTATCTGCAAAATCATCAATATTCTGATGATATGTATTGGTCCAGACTGAAACCAATTCAAGGATTGAAAAGAAAAAAGAAATCGTCATATGCCTGAAAATGTAAAATGTCGAGCCCGTGCTTTACACGGGCTAAATCTATCTAGTGTATTATATAGATAAGGAGAGATGGTCGACCATGGGGCAAAATTATCATTTTTCTCAAAGGAAAAAGTTCTTGTATCTAACTCCATCTCTTCCGACCTTTTTTTATTCCTCATCCTCCATACACGACATGGGTCTAGAAACATCTTCCGACTTCTATCTCTTCTGTTCCAACACATCAGAGGAGTACTTCAGTTCTCTTTCTTCAAACTTTCAACTATAACTTTTTTCATCTTCTTATTTATCTATTAAATTTCAGGTATCATTCTCTCAATCTTTGCTCTCATCTTTTTCTTTCTTTGTTTCTTTTTGATCTGTTTAACTATTTCTAATTTCAGGGATGAATTTCCTTGAATTTCGTGTTTTTCAACCAGATGATGAGGAATCACCATTTTAAGGGTTATTCTCCGTCCAATTTCATTGTTGTTGCCTTCTTCTCGCTGATTCGCCTCTATCTCTTCTTCTTATGGTATTGACATTTATTATTCTGCTAACTTAAAAACAAAAGGAATATTTAGTTTTACTCCTAATGCATGTTGTTCTTCCGTTTCTTTACCTTTTTTTCTTTCTTTTTGTATATTTTATATTTTCATGAATTGTGAATCGCGAATATGTTTCCAGGTTCTTCATAACTGCCTCTTTGCACACCTCTCACTCTCCATAGCCGAGGGAAAAAAAAACTGGAACTCATGATAACCCAATTTTAATAAAGCACTAAAATTGGTGTATGGGTTGAGATTGACATAAATTGAATAAATTAAGTCGAATAACTATAGAAAAAAAATTTGTGCATGTGAATTTTTATTGACAGATTTTATTCATCATCTCGTATCTTAGGAAGGGTTAATAAGGCTTAAGATGATTTGGGAACTCTTCTTAGAAGTTGTGTTCGAGCAACATCTGTTTGTTTGAATTTAAATTCGTTTATCTGGCTAGGAATTTAAGGAATAAGGAAGGTATTTTAAAGGGCATGTAATGAGATTGCTTTATATGATGACTCATTATTGTTAGAGGGATTTGAAAGTAAAAGAATGGAGGAGTAACAACTTGTTTGGATAATTGTTACCCATTGTATCGTATTGTATTGTTATCCTAAAACAATATTTGTTTTGATTGTCTATTTAAAATTGATTGTATCGTATTGTTAAATTCATTGTTCCGGAATAACCAAAAGTTCCATTTTGTGAAACAACCGATTTGGTGTGGTGCGATCGTTTCCTATTTTCATTTCTAATTATGTCCTTACTTATTACTTCATAATTCTATTTTATCATTTAATTTTTTTTTATTTTAACTCCAAATCTCCAACATATTTACCTACTTTGTCTTCTTCCATCTTTTCTAGAGTTGGTTTGCCTCGTTCTTTTTATTATCCAAGTCTCCGTTCAATTCTTTGTCTCTTTTCACCGTTTTAACTTTTTTTGGTGTTTCTAATATTAGTTAACTTTTTTTTTCCAGGTTTTTGCTCTTGTTTCCAAGCTACGTAATTAATGATAAATTAGTAGAAAGAGGTTTTCTTAAATTATTTTTATGTGTAATTCTTGATAAATTTTATTTAAAATAATTGCGGGTATTTTAGTGAACTTATCGGTTACAGTACTGTACGATACAGCCAAATCAACAACAAAAATATTATTTAACAACAACAAACGGTATAATCTATTCAAACGTTGTATCCATAAAATAATACAATACAATACAATACAGTACAAAATAATACATTATAAAACGATGGGTAACAATGATCCAAACATAGTATAAGTAGTAGAGTACTGAGGATTGATAGAGATTGTATGAACTTGCAACAGTATGCAACAACTTTGAGAAACAGACGAGGGGTGGAGATGTAAGGGCGTGTATAAAAGGAGATCTGAGCCAAGGATGTAACTTAATTTATTTATTTTACTTTTTATTCCCTGTTTGTTGGCATTTGCTAATATAATGTGTATTCAACAATAAAGTATAGTTGTTTGTCTTATTGAGAATTCTGATTATCCCATCTTTAAGCTTAAATGGTCTTATTATCAGTTGATGTGTTCATGTAGCTAGGTACTAAATCAGCATATGCTATCTTCACCTATTCTTTTTTATTGTTTTCCACTTTTATGCAATTTCATTGGAATATTATTTAAGTTTATATTTTGTTTAGATATTTTGACCGAAAGTACAAGTGACATATTGATCTTGCCATCTTGGATACTTGGCTGTCTGATTCACTTGGTTACTTTTTGATAGTTGGTTTGTTCTTTTGTTAGTTCAGCACACGAATGCACATGAGTTATCAGGTTTGTGTATTTATCAAAGGAAAATATTATTGCGTTCCTACATGCACTATGCTTTTACATACATATAGTATGTATAAAAAACATTCTTCCATGATGATTACTTTTAACATTTGTAAATTAAAACTATTATAGAGAACCCCAAAAAGGATTATTTTCAAGGTCATGGAAGCGTACTCAAAGGTCCTCCTCCATCACTTCAAGTGGCAAAGGTTGTGAACTATGTGTCTTGGTACACTTCTTTCTATACCTCAAGGCCTCAACATGTTGTTCTCCACTTCTTTTTTGGGTATAAGTTATTTTCTCCATGTTTATGATTATCATTGTGATTATTGATGGTAAGGCCTAGCAGCTGCATTCAGTTACTTGAATCAACTGCTTACATTTGTGCTTTTAATATATTTCATCGCTTTCATACTGTACTTACAAGTTTAATGATCAGCTATATTCTTTTAATAGTATGGAACATATGGTGACTAAATCTAGCATGCAAAATACTTTTCTCCTTTTTAGAAAAGATAGTATTCTAATGCATGAAATAACTAGTGATCGAGGAGGTTTTATATTCATATCTGAAAGTTCTAGCTTTGATGTTGCTTATTATTTGTGACTACAAGAGTTTTTTTAATTTTCATTTGGCTAGATAGGTAGGGTGATTTTTGATACAATAGCATGTAGTAGTATTATCTTTCGGAATTAAATACTTCATAAAATTATACTATTGTTAGATATTGAGTTTTATTTGTGAGTTGAAGTACAATAACTCTTTAGCACACTGTATTGTTACCATGAGATATTTTTTGTTCTATGAGTTCATCTACTAAGATTAAGGACAAATAAAACAAGGAATCAAGGATAGTTTTGCATGAGTATTGTAGAGTATATTTGGTAACTGTGACATGGTATAACTTTGTTTGTTTCCTTGATTTATAAGTCTTTGCAAATTACATATAAAAATGCACTTATAAAAAAGTACAGTTTATGCAAAAGCGGTGACAGGAACAAACCAAAAATTTGAGAAAGAAAAATATATATATATATATTACCTAGGCTGAGTGTCATTTCAAATATAAGGTGTTCTTGCAGATAGAGTAACACAAAATCGTCAATGGTACTTGGCTGAGAAGTTCGTTGATTAACTTTTGATTGGGAAGTAATAGAGTAAGTACCATCTTGAGCTAACTATATCTTGAATAAAATTTTATGTTTGTTTATATCTTCTCCAATATTTCGTGAACTCTAAATTATTTTCATTTATTGACTCTGGTAGAAGCTGATCATTCATCAAAGGGAGATTCAAAAGAACTCCATGACCGAGGTATGTATTGGTTCTTGAGCACTACCAGCTCACTGAATATATTTAAATATAAAAAATGTGCTATATTGCAATTGTCCTGAAGAGTTTGTACTTGAATTAACCCATATACTCAGTTCCCTTTGGATATTTGGCTTATGGAACTTCAGTTTGATACTTTATGTGATAAATACAATAAATAAATCATTTTATCAATGTCGTGAAGCAAAGAAGAAACTTTCGAATTAAAGTCTAAAAAAATTGAGAAAAGCAAAGTGGATCACTTTTTTATATTTCCCTTTTCTTGATGAGCAATCAAAAAATTTTATATTGACAAAGCTCCCACTAAGATAATGTTGGAATAACATAAGAGAAATATTAATATCAGTCCATATTTATTTATGCAGTAATGACAAAAAATGTATCGATATATTTACTTCATATCCGTGTATGTTCTTTATAACGAATGGACTTTTTGTGTTATTTGGTAGTCATATGATTTTAATGTATTTTTTTCTTTAATTGAGGGCAAGTAAATGTATTGACCAACTTTTCTGGACATTATTTGCATTTTATATAGTTGTCGGCATTAGCTTATCAAAGAAAACATAAGGCTTCGAATTTATTTTTCGTTAATTCTTAAGTGGTTAATCTCAAGGATAGGAAGATCCTATATTGTTTTAATAAAAGATTAGATTTCCGATGCATCTTTAGATTGTAGTAATAGTGTCTTGACAACTTACTTTGTGCCCTCCACTCTAAAGGGCCATAACTCGATTCTTACTCCGAGTAGTTTGTTTACAGATTGGTTTGTGTATATGCTCTCTCTCTCTCTCTCTCTCACACACACACACAAACATACGCGCATGCATATGCACACACACATGTCTTTATGTCATGATATTTTTCAATTCTTGCTATGGGACATTTATCAGTTAATGTTTTCTATCTCAAAAATGTTTGACTTCTTATTTCTCTTTTCGGAACAGGATAAGAAGTTATGTGAAGAGTACCCAATAGTAGATGTTTCCAGTAAACTATGTTATCTCTTTTGTTCATAGTGCAAATACATTTGGTTGATTACGTAGCATAGGATGGTGGGTAGGGAATGGAGAGCAAATACATTTGGTTGATTACGTAGCTTGAGTTTGATTTTGTATATAAAGGGAGTAGAAGAAAAGGAAATATTTGCTCAGTTTCAGTAAGTCTAGGGAGACAATATACATTGTTCTATGTTTGTCACTATTTTCCAAGGTTAGCATTGTGCTTCATCTTTGTGAACTTATGTCTATTCTAAATCATTTATAGTTTTTTAGGATCACCATGTGAATGCAAGATTATACACTAACAAAACGACATTAAAATTCAAAATGTTGGGCCATACCCATCTAGTACAAAGATATAGACTAGTTTGTGACAATTCATTCATGTGTTTCTGGTATGTTCTTGCCATCGAGGAAAACAAAACAATGTGTTTCTCATGATGGTATATACTCATTAATATACCATATGCGGTGGGTCCCGTGTTGTGCACGAGCCAATGTTTTCATTTGAAAATCCAAAATTTTATTTGAGTAAAAGTTGAAACTCTAGTATAGTGGCTATTTTCAAAGACGACAGAAAAATTGGACGTTATTTTCGGAGATTTTGCATCTATAGCTCACAATTTAACTTATACTCACTTTAGAAAAAAATTTATAAGTCTATCCACTTTACGATTAATTTCAGACTTATCGGGTCTGAAGTTAAAAAAAATAGTTTGAAGTGAAAAAATTGCACTTCAAATGCACTTAAAGGCCAAATAGGTCAGAACTACAACCAATGATTTATGCACTTGAGGCCAATAAGTTTGAAGTAAAAAAATTGCACTCCAGATGCACTTAAGGACAAATAGGTCTGAAGTACAACCAATGGTTTCATGCATTTAAGACCAATAAGTTTGAAGTGACAAAATTGTACTTCAGATGCATTTAAAGGCCAAATAGGTCTGAAGTGCAACCAACGTTTAAACATAATCTGGTTCTTCGAATTTTTATAATCCAGCATATGATCTAATACCTAAATCTAATCCAAATGAGCTCAAATTTGAAAAATAACCTCTAAATATCATCAAGAACAAACTCCAATCATCAATTTGTCAAAACAACAATAAATCTAACGAACCCATTTTTGCAATTAAGAAAATGAAGCAGAAGAAACACTAAGCAATAGTAAAAATAAAGCGCCACAATAGCTCACCATTGTAAAACATCATAAACTACCTTAAAGTATGTTCATAAACATCACATAAAATTACGGTCACCCGAATAAAAAGGAGGAGGAGAAAAAGGTCTGAAGTTGTTTAAATTTTGGGTAGTAGATAAAAAAAAAAAAATTAAAAATGGGTATAGGTTAAATGGGGGCGACCAAATAGGGTGCCCCTACAATTTTTACTATTTCTACTTTCTTATTTTGATTTGTGCTTATATAAACCATTAGTATTCTGGACCCTCTAACACAACTAATCTAAATTCTCAGTCGGGCAAGACCCATTTAAGGGGAAGCACCCCCTACTAGGGTGTACAAACCGAACCGGAAAATCGGATCAAATCGATAAGTCAAACCAAACCGATTAAAAAACCAGACTAGATTTGGTTTGATTTGGTTTGGTATTGAGTAAAAAAATCTGAACCAAGCCGACATATATATATATATATATAAGATTTTATATAGCATTTTCTTTAAAGATATCTAGAAATATTTGGAATTCTCTTACATGATATAATATTTAATAGAATATGAAGTGCTCCATATTTATTAACCTTAAATAATGGGTTGTATGACCACTTTCTTATCAGCATCAATCTTTTTGTTCTTGCATATTCATATGTCAAGATCTATTAAATTTTTATATCTTTTTCGAATTTGAAGTGATTATTACTATTATTTAGGTATCGTATTGATTTTTATGTTTAATTACTAAATTCGATTAACCTTAAAAGTGTACATCAACAAAAAAATTATTGTCACACGACTAAAAAGATAACTATCATGTGTTACTAAGTAAATTCTCCTATAAGAATATTTTAATAGATAATATATTTGTCAATTTTTTTAAATTTTTACTAAATATATATTTACTTATCAAAAGTTTAACAAAGTAAGATTGAAATAATATTTAAGTAACAAAAACCCGACAAAATCGAATCAATCCAAACCGATATAATTGGTTTGGTTTGATTTTGATAAAAATCGAACCAACCCGGTCCATTCCCTACCCCCTACTAAGAGTTTTTCCAATTTAGATCTCGAACTCGAAATTTACGGTTAAGAGTAAAAAAGATATTATCCATCCCCGCACAACCCTTGATAGTCTATAGAAAAATTTTAAGGAAAGCAGAAGATATAGAGATTACACTATTTTTTATGTTCTGATGTGTGTTTGCTTGTATTCCTTAACATAATACTACTAGTATCAAGTATTTTTTGGGTACTGTTCCTACATGATCTCTCCATTTCCTGGTGAGCAAAAGATCACAGTTTTAATTTTAAGTGTTACAAGAATCAAGATTATATCAAGAAGAACTAGGACCACAGCTTTATATGGAGTAGTTGGTTTCTTTCCATTATTTACTTTGTGAAAGAAAATCTATTAGTTACTCAATATGCCCTTCTTTTTATTTTATTTTAAATCGTATCATACTAAAAGTAAGAAGCTCCTACGTTCAAAGTCTAATTTCGATAATATTTTTTAAAATTTAAGTTACAATTTTGTCCCTAATAAAACAACTGATCTTTCACAAAATAATTACTCCCTCCGGTCCACAATAAGTGATCAATTTGTCTTTTTATTTTGGTCCAAAATAAGTGTTTATTTATATAATCAAGAAAAAATTCAATTTGTTTTTCCAAAATTATCCTTATGTATGTATCCCTAAAAAGTCTTTTACTCCTCACATTAACTATGCTGCAACATTTAATTAAGAATAATTTAATTACACTAACTATTTTTATCTAAAATTTTATATTTTCTTAATGGGCGTGCCCAAGACAAATTGGTAAGTTAAAAGTTCCTTTTTTCCCTAAAAATCTATTGCGGCTATCCTTGGCAAAAGCACTTCACGTTTTCCACAAGTAAGTTTTTGCTATATTATTATGCTTTGNAAGTTAGTGAAGGATTAAGAGGTTAATTCCTAGGTTGCATAGGTTGTAATCTAAAGTTGCTCAGTAGTGAAGTTGAAATCCTACAAGGGTAGGTCGTAGTTTTTAATCCGTTGAGCTGAGAATTTTCCACGTAAAATTTCTCTTGTCATTTACTTACTGCAGTGTGCATGGTTTCTATGGGAACTAATAGATAACCTGGTTCTCTATATAGTTTGGTGGACCCTTAAATTCTATCAGATTAGTAGAATAATCTATTTGCTATTTAACATTTTGGCTTCCTTTTAATAATTTCCCTCTGTTTTGGCTCCTTTCTTAAGTTGCATGTTTCACTTGAAAGTTTAGAAGCATTATTTTTCTTGTCTTTTTCCTTGTCAAAAATCCATGTACAAAATAGTTAATAATTTATCTGGATTAATAATTTAATTAACCCGTTTAAAAAGTGTATCATTTCACTTATTATTTGGTTAATTTTAATCCCTCTTTTGTTACTACGCGAGTTTAATAGATAAGCCGAAAGTTCCAATTTCTTGAAATATTAGCCTATATAGTGTGTAATGGATGTTAGATTTGCCACATGTTATACTTACACAATTATATAATTTATACTATTCAACTAATATTCTTTTGTCAAATTTATAGATGAAAGGAGTCATAATCTTGAATCAGACAAAGTGTTCTTGTACGTGCAACAATGATATCAATAAAACCCTTTTGATGTTAGTAACTATTAAATATCTCTATCACAAAAGATTACTATTCTTTTTGCAGCTTTACACTATAAAATTGATTATGATATACTAGCCACCCTAAAGAAGACCTATGTTGATCGAATTTCTATACAACTTTTACAAATTACTGCTTTCATTCGTCAACGGCTTCTTGATATGTATGCGGCTGTAAAAATAAAAAGGCTACAATTTCTTAAAGACAAAGGAGAAACTTCTAGACATGAAGTATTTGCAACCATAGCCGATGTTGTTCATATTCAAATGTAATCTACATGTTGAAATATATCAGTAAAAAAATTGTCACGTTGAATATTTGGTAAGACAATCCTACGTAACTAATATTAGTTGTTCATATGATAACTTGGGCCTGCAACAATTAACTTGGAGCTTGTATTTTCATCCCTTAAATTTAGTATAAATCATCTCACACATTCTAATATTATTCATACCATTTTAAAAGGTCTATACTTATTAGGCGGAAATCAAATAGGAAGATCCTACCCTCAAGATAGATTTATAATAATATCTTTTAAACTCTCAGTGAAGATCAATTTGTCCCTGAAGAAAAAAACTTTACATTACAAAATTTTGAATAATTTATTACATTTAGAAGTGAGCTGGGTAAATTATAAGTGAAGTAATAGTACTTTTATGCTTCAGACACTCAACTTAAACATTGTAATAATTAAAATTATTTATGAGCAAATGAAGAGACTATCATTACAATCGCGTCATTATATTGAATTAAAAGAAAAACTGAATTAAGTTTCTCAAGTTTATAACTCAAGTTGAAGTATTATAATCGTCCATAAAAGTTTGTCTTTTCCTTTACGGTGTCCATATGCCCATTTTGACAATAGTGGATTGCTCTAGTGGTAAGCACCCTTCACTTCCAACCAAGAGGTTGTGAGTTCGAGTCACCCCAAGAACAAGGTGGGGAGTTCTTGGAGGGAAGGAGCCAAGGGTCTATTGGAAACAACCTCTCTACCCCAGGGTAGGAGTAAGGTCTGCGTAAACACTACCCTCCCCAGACCCCACTAGTAAAATCATACTGGGTTGTTATTGTTGTGTTGTTCACATAAACATGAGAAGGTTGTCTTTGATAATGCATAAAAAAGTTTCAATTTCCTTTTTTTCTTCGTATGATCTCACCATTGTCAAACAATTATAATGCTAATCTTAGTGGCAATAGGACCTGTTGAAGTCAAATACAAGATCAGTCTTAAAAGGTGGTTGTTTGACACTTTGAAGTACTTTCACTTTTAATAATTGAAGCATCACTAATGTCATAGAAGAAATAGTTTTGATGGACTGATGTAGTTGTCTACCTATGTACTTCTAAGGGAGTAGTAATTATTGATCCAACAACTTATTTGAGCAGGTAACATTTCAATCTCACTACTGAGGATGGATTATATTTTTGCTCCTTTCTTTTTTCTTTTAAAAA